GGCAGGGTTCTGTGCCCCATAGTATTTGTCACACTGTGTTGTGATGATCTGTTTCCACATCTGTCTCCCTCAACTGCACTGAGAGTTTCTCACTCACCTTCATGCCTCCGTGGTCTCTTCTGATGCCAACACCTTCTTGAGGACAGGGGTGCTCAGGAAATAGGTGTTGAGTAGGATGAACAAACAAATAAATAAATGGAACAATGTAGGTTGGAAAATAATGCAAGTAGAAGGAAATAAGATTTCCTATAGGTTTGGGAAGAACTTTATTTTAGTGTGCAAATAATGAATATTGTAGTCTACAAATTTGAAACACATTCCATCAAGAAAGATACTTTGTCATTAGGAAAGGGGCACAAGAGAGTAGCTCCACAACATAACTTTCTCAAAACTTTCAAAGAACACTCTGCTGGACAATTGTGAAGAGCCTTTCCCTGATAGTCCGTCCCTTAGTCTCTGCCCTTTTTTGGCCATGAAAGTCCAAGGGCTTCTTTATGAGCACAGTGAGACACTTATTTTTGTTTTCTTGAATTCTAGAACTATTTTCTTAAGTCACATGGGAGACAGTCCTCAGGTGTTTAAGAAAAAAGTTCCCACTCCATTTTGGAAACAAATCAGGGGACCAAAAACTTAGCTAGATCCCATGTCCAGTGAAAAGTTGAAATCAAATCACCACAACAATTCCCAAACTAACTAAATTCAAAACTAATACTCTAAAAGTAAACAACTCCAGAGCTCAGTGGGTTGCTTATTTGCCATATTTCTCAGCTTTCAGCCATCCTTCTAGTCTCAGCTTTGTGCCCCCAGGGCCACTCACCTCCTTTGCCAGCTTGCTCCCTGTCAGCTTTGGCCAATAGGGCAGACTGATGGGAGGACCAAGGAGGCGAGAGCGACCCCGTGTGCTGACTTCCTGCCAGCGTCCCCCTGGCAACTGCTCTTCACGCTGAGAGCAACAGCTGATTCCAGTAGCTGCCCTTTGCCATTTTCCCAACACTTCCACAAGCAGCCTCATCACCCCGCCTTCAGAGACTCCAGCACCAGCTGGCAGCACCCTCTATGGAGAGTTCTGCATCCAGCTCTTGGACCAAATTCCGACTCGTGGGACACCTGTCCCATGGGGCAGCACCTCCCCCTCAGACTGTGGGCCACCTCCATCCAACCTCTTCCCTTTGCTCCTTCAGCCAGTGGGCTGGTAGCTGCTCCTTATGGCTAACATCTCCATGATCTCACATTACCACGTTTTCTCCTGTTAAAATCTCCAATAACTGGGTAACAATTCCTTATACTATATTCTCTCTGTTAAAATAACTGCTGTTGTGTCTTTCTCTTGTTTGGATCCCCTAGACTAATTCTAATAGTAAATAATTCTGAAAATAAATCTGAAAATAAAATAAGTAAAAATACAAAATAGAAAAAAATTTTTAAATGGCAAAGATGTAACTAAAAAGAAATGGAGAATAAGTTACCGAAAATAAATCAAAACTAAATATGTCCAAATCTCTGAAAATAAAAAATTCAGGAAATATAATGCTCAAAAATGCAACAGCTGAAAATAAAATAATTTAAAACCAAATAACTAACATAAATAAATGGATGTAAAATAAACAACCCCAAATCTAAACTGAAAAAAATAAGTGTGACTATAAGTAACTCTAAAACTAACAAGGGAAAAACCTCTAAAATAACTAAAGTTTTTTAGTTATATCCAGACAAAGTTTAGACACTTTGTCTGGAAATAATTTTAAATAATTCTAAAACTTTCAGTGAATTATTAGCAGTCAATAAAAAACTAAAAATAATTTGAAAATTCCAATAACTAAAAAAAAGAATAACTATAAAAGTAAATAACTCAAATACTAATAATTGTAAAGATAATTAAAAATAATTCTAGAGCTAATTTGGAAATGTGTAACTTAAAATAACTGTATACAAGAAACTGAAAATGAATAACTCAAAAACTAAATAACCCTGAAAACAAAATTATAAACAGATAACTTTAAAACTATAAAATTAAATAACTAGAAAACTATAAATAAAAATAAAATTAGACGAAAAATAATAAAACAAAAATAAAAATAACTGAAACTAATTTAAAAACTAATAAATCTAAAAACGAACGACCTCAGACGTTAACATTTGTAACCAACCCTCTCTGAAAGGATACAATCCCGTTACAAAGTAACACAAACACCACAGGAACATTCTTTTGGTGATTTAGGGAGAAGAACACAGGGCTGCCTCTGTAGTTTCTGCTCTTCCAAGGTTCGCAAAGGAGATTCTCAACGAATCTCCCCACTCCCATCCCAGGAAAAATCTGACAATGTCTTCAGGCATTTTTGATTGTCATAATTTGGGTGAGTGGATGGGAGAGCGGTTTTACTGGCATCTGTGGGTAGAGGCCAGGGATGCTGCCAAACACTAGACAAGGCAGTCCCCCCTCCCCCCCACCCCGCCCAAAGAATTATCCAGCCCCCAAAGTCTAAATGCCAACGTTGAGAAACCTTGGGCAGGACCCCGCAGGACTGGGCTCCGCTAACCTCTGCAGGAGCGGCAGAGCAGCTCGGGGGGTCGCGGGCGTTTGCACGAAATCCCGGCACTCGAGTAAGCCGGTGTGGAGCAGCCCCGAAGTTCGCGGACGGCTTCAGCTAGTCCCGGCGCCCGCGCAGGCGCGTATGAAGCAGCCCCGAGGTTCGTGGGCGTCTGCACGGAGTCCCAACGCTCGCGCAGGCGCCTGGGGAGCAGTCCTGAGGTTCGCGGGTGTCTGCACGGAGTCCAGGCGTTCGCGCAGGCGCGTGGGGAGCAGCCCCGAGGTTCGCGAGTGTCTGCACCGAGTCCTGGCACTCGCGCAGGCGCGTGTGGGGCAGCCCCGAGGTTCGCGGGCGTCTGAGCCGAGTCCCCAGGGCTAACGCTGACGCGTGTGGAGCAGCTCCCAGGTTCTCAGCGGCCCTCGCCGGGAGGGTGGCCTCCGCGGGCAGGCCGTGGGCTCTTCCTCAGGCTTCTGGAAGGCGGTCCTATCTCACCCCACCCCCACCCCAGCTGCAGATCCGCAGGGTCCGAGGCGGCCCCTTGGCTGCTTTCCCGCTGGAGGGTGGGCCGGGCCCTCGACGTCCGCAGCAGGCCGGGCCCGGAATGGAGGCGGCTTGGGGCGGCCCGGCCGAGCGGGGGAGCCGCGGTGTTCTAGAACCGGTGTCAGTTCTCGGGGGAGGGGGTGCGCCGGCATCGTTCCCTCGCCCGCTCTGCTTTCGCCCGGAAACTAGTCGCGTCCCCCGCAGGGCCGAGCAAGGCAGCGGGCACCGCAGCGCTCTCCTTAGTTGTGTTTGTTGGCCTAAAATTCCAAGAAGAAAGTCAGAGGAGCAACGGCTAACAGATTCGCTTACTGTTTGTTCTTTCTCTTTCACACTCAAACGTCTTCATCGCCGCTTTCCTTTTTCCCCTGGACGCTTTCTCCCGTTTCCAGGACAGATTTGGAGGAACACGTTTCATAACTGTCGTCCAACTGGAAGAGTCCGGACAGCTGGAAGGGAGGGGACAGTGGTGAACCCTCAGAGTTAGCAGGGCCGAGGAGTGCCCAAGCCCAAGCCAGGCGCGACCTGTGATTCCCGCCGGCGCCGGCGGGTTGGGGCCCACCCTAGTTCTCCCAAGGGGTCACTGGGGTCCCGGCAGGAGCCCCACATTTATGATCAGAAGCCAGAGCAATGCGAAGGAGATGGGGATGAGGGACATGCCAGGCCGGGAGGGTCTGAGACACTTCGCAGAGCCAGTGACCTCAGCTTCCTGGGTTAGGCCTGGTCCTTATGGGTAGGCATCACGAAAAGGGGAGGGACATGGAAGGGGGAGAGAAAGAGGAGGCAGGAGAAGCTGGTGAAATCGAATTGAGGGAGAAAATGAAGGAGATAAGAAGGAAATAAATTACACTCAGAGCACTGTTCTCCTTTTCCATATCTTCTGCACCTTCGGGATGGTCAAAGGTTTCCATGGAGGTAAACTCCTTGCTGGAGCAGCCTTGGGGAAAGAAAGGAAGAATTTGACCTGCTGTGCAAGAGAGGGCCTGGGAGGATTCGTTCTGCTGCCAGTGGCCAGGTGTCCTAGGAGGCAGTGCCTGTCCCCGTGAACCTCTTCTCCCCATCTCTAACTCCTGCTCTCCCAGGACCTGGATGGCTTCACCTGGGTGGGAGGTGGAGGTCTGTCCTCTTAAGGTTCACTTTTCCAGCTCAAATTTGTAACCATGACCCCGAGAAGATCTGTCTACGTGGTGTTCATAGCCCTACTCCTGGTCCTCCAAGAAAACGGTCAGTCTTTTTGTGCTTGACAACCTTCCTGTCCTCCACCCTTCTTCCCTCTCTTCTTTTCCCCCTTTTCTCGCCCCTGATTCCTATTTCTTTGGTAGCCTCTGTCACTGCTCTTCCCATGGGAAATCAGAGGAGTGAGTACATCCTGCCTCTCTCTTCCAATGAGCTGATAAACCGATTAGTCACCACTGTGCACCTGCCATGAGCCTGGGGCTAAGACACTGAGGGGAACAGCAATCTCCACCAAACACTGAACCCTACTCTGTGCCTGCTGGGATGCCAGTTTGTCAAAAGTTAAGCTTCACATGGCCCTCTAAGGGCCTTAGCTCCATTTTACAGATGAGAAACTGGGATGAGAGAGGAATAATCACTTGGCCATGTTCCCTCGGCTGCAAGCACTGCAGCTGGGTTCTACAAGTCTTGTCTTTACCTCTCACTGAGCTTCAACGGAATAATCAATCTTGCAGGAATCTGAGTGCAGGACCAAGTCTCTGTTTGGTGACAACTCAAGGGCAGGGGTTAGGGTATGGCCTTGAAGGGCGTGGACAGGGCATGGGGGGTGAGGGCATTCTGGACACAGGAAATGAGAAGAGGGAGCTGAAGGAGTCTACAGTTGGAGTTAGTGGCACAGTTCTGTCAGCAAGCAGGAAGTGCGCAAGTGGGAGCTCCCTGACCTGCTGCCCAGAGGACCCCCAAGCTGCATTCTGGGGCCTAGGGTTCTCCCCAGGGCAGAAGTGGGGGGGGGCCGTGCCAGCCAAACTGGGAGCAGCCAGGCAGCCCTTTCCTGGAGGCCTCCAGGAACCCTGCCTGGTGCCGGAGGGTTTTGAGGCAGCTGGACACAGTGTTCTCAGATTGCAGCAAACTTGCTTTAAGTTCCAGTCCCCAGAAGTGGTGGGGTGAGGGGTAGAGGGCAGAGGAGAAACTGGCTCCCACCGCCCTCCTCCAGATGTGACTCAGGGACATCTGCAGTAACGCCCAGAGACTCCTCTTTAGGGTGGTCATCCAACACGATCCCCTGATGCCCAGAGCAGGCAGTGAGGACAAGGAATGGCAGTCTTGCTGAAAGGCTGTAAGGGAGGAATGGAGAAGACTCGCCCTTGACCACCTACCATGGGAACAGAAGGGTTGAGTCTCCAGGGGCT